TCAGCTCTCCTCCCAGGCATCTGGAAGGCACCCTACAGGGAGGTGGGAATGGATGCTGGTGCCCCCCAGCAATGTCCAGCCCAGTTTCGGGGTGCAACACCCACTCCACCCCTCTCCCTGATTAGCAGCCATGCAGTCTGGAGACTGACATCATCTACAGAGATGGTCTTGACTGGTCTATGAGTAAGACCATCCCCCATGCGCTCAGAAGGGCATGTGAACCAAGTCTGACCAATGAGACTTCAGAAGAGGATTCTGGAAGCTTATGGAAAACTTTACTGCTGCCTTTCCCCTCCCGCTTTTTGTTACTGGAAGCTGAACACAGAAGCACTTTAGCGCTGAGCTGCATCCCCACATCCCCATGCCTTTTTCAAGTTTTTGAGACAGGGACTGACTAAATGGCTGAGCCTGGCCTCGAACTTGTGATCCTCCTGCCTCAGCCTCCTGAGATCACCCTCACTGGGATGACTGGCATGTCAACCAAGCCTGCTGCTTCCTCTATCTTAAAAGAAAGGTTGTCCAGGGCTGGGATTGTGGCTCAGCGGTAGAGCGCTCACCTAGCACGGGCTGGACCCAAGTTCGATCCTCAGCACCACATAAAAATAAAAGGCATTGTGTTGTGTCCATCTACACCTAAAAAATAAATATTAAAAAAAAAAAGAAGGAAAGGTAGTCCAGGCTCTCTTCCCCTTGAACATGAACAGGGAAGCATGTCACCTGACCATAAAGGGAACCAGCCTTCGCCAGAAGCATACACCATGAGTGATACGGCAGGGCCATGGAGAGAGCCTGGGTCCTTGGTCACCTCAGGGAGAAAATGAAAGACCACCCTGAAACTTCACAGTCTGTGAGGAGTGGCTTTATTGTTTAACCATTTTGTTTGCTCATCCTAGATGACGCCTATGAAAACTTAAATGTAGTATATAACGTATGATTGTATAATGTATAATGTAATTACCCAAGAGTAAGAATATAATTATAATATTAGTATATATCCATGGTTTGTGCGTATCATCAGTCATAATAATATTCACAAAACTGAGTGGTTAAGGGGTTCTGTCGGCTGAACGGGGGCCCTGTTACCTGCAGCCCAGGGCAGCTCAGCTGGAGTAGGATGCCATCCCCTTTCACGGTCCCCTGGAAGAAGCTGCAATTCTCCTGAGTGGTGCCAGCATCACCCAGACTGAACAATCTCTGAACTCACTTTTCCTGGAGGTGCAGCTTCACCCACAGCCAAGGGGCAGCCTGTCGCCATCAGCTGGTTCACTTTGGCTTCTGTCACTTGCAAAGAAGAGTCTGGACTAACGCCTCAAAACTACTCTGGAAGTGCAGACGCGGAGATCGCCAAGATCTGTTCGTCATTTAAAATGTTCAGGATGCTTTGCGCTTTCCTAAGGACTTGACTTCACATCATCTCTTCTTATATCTCCAAGACCCCTCAGATGAGGTGACATCATGCAGTCCACTTTGCAATCAGGAAACCGAGGCACAACAGGTGGCTGGCCCAAGATCACGCACCTGAGTTTTAAGCCAGGCAAAGTGCAGAACCAGAGGTGGTGACCCCATGTCACCTGCCCCTTTGCCTCAGTTTTGGCTCCCTGATAGGAAAGTCTGGGTCTTGAGTGCAAGGTGTTTACATGGGGGGACCCCAGAAGGCAGAAATGAGGGGCAAGAAGAATAGGGCAGAGAGTGTGTTAGTGAGGCCACTGTTGTAGCTAAGGGCTGCCTACTGCTGGTCTCGGAGAAGGTTCTAGAAAGGTCCAAATGGTCTAGAACACTCCTCAAGTTGCCCACCTGGGATGGCAGAGATCAGCACCTGGAGAACAGCTGCTGTCCCCCTCTGGTGTGTGCCTGTGTGTGGGCAGAGCTCCCCAAGGATGGGGATGTGAAGACACAGGGGCTCAAGTCTGAGCTTGCATGGAACTTTGCAGCACAACTGCAGATGAAATCAAAGGTGAGTCGAGGGAGGAACCAGTGACAGCAGGATTCATCGGACATCTGCCCATTGCTTAGCCAGGTGCAGGTGGCTTGGAGCAGGCTAACCCCAAGAGGATGACTAAGGGGTCCCCTCTCAGCCCTCACAGTCATCCCAATGAGTGCCAGGCCCCTGCACCCCTGTTTAAGCAGCTCAGCACATGGCAGGTCCCAGGAGGAGTGAGTAATCTCGGGCAGTCACATGACTCAAGCTGGCCAATCAGACTGAACGGAGGAAGAATTTCCTATCACCATTGCTGGAATGGATTCTCTCTCTCTCTTTCCTACTGGATGTGAACAAAGATGGGGGTTGTCCCGTTGGCCCTGGAACTCATCTTGTGATCATAAGAAGCAGCAATGGAAGAGCAAACCTGCCTCAGCACCCCAAGGAGCTGCTCAGCGTGCACCCAAGATCCCAGAGGAAGAGGCAACTCTTCTACGTGAAATTAAAACAGAACTTAGGAGGTCAGCAGAGGGGACGAAGATGGAGAGGAAAACAGGGAGACAGGGGGCCGCGCAGGATAAGCATGATGGCTATGGTGGCGCCAGCCTGTGATCCCAGCAGCTCGGGAGGCTGAGGCAGGAGGATCGCAAGTTCAAAGCCAGCCTCAGCAACTTAGTGAGGTCCTAAGCAACTTAGCGAGACCCTGTGACTCAGCCACCAAGTCTCCCAGCTGCTGAGTCACCTCCCTGCCATGGCCCAGACACTGGAGAGAAGAAACACTAGTCCCCCAGGTTCCCATCTGAGTCACTGACCCACAGAATCTGGGGATAATAAATGACTGTTTTATGCCACTGATTTTGGAGTGATTTATTTTGCAGCAATAAAAACCAGAACAGCTCCCAAATAAGCCACCCACACACATCCTTACCTCAGGGTCTGCTTTTGAGAGCATCCAACCTAAGGGACAATGATGTCGGCTTCCGGTTCTAGGCTTGTGAAGGTGAGATGCCCAATTCATCCCAACAAAAGGATGACGTCCGAGTCACATTGGCTTGGGGACACACAGACCAACATAAAGGAAATGCTGACTGGGCAGGGCAGGTCAAGTCCTCTGCCCCGCCCTCCCCAGAAAATGGGGTTGCCTTGGCAACCACAGGGTCCTGAGAGTAGAGGGAAGGAGGAGCCCACAGGAGAACTAGGTTGCTGCTACCAGGCCTCCTCAGTTCTGTTCTGAGATCGTGGGTCATGCATTTCAGGAAGGGCAAACCCTTTTGAGCCCAAAGGTGAACACCGGTCAAGCTAAGGCAAACATGGTAATTTCACTCCCCTTGCCAGGGATTGGTTTGGACATGGACATATAATTCTTGATCCTGAAGGGGCAGGAAGGGGAACAACAAATGATAGGTTTATTCACTCTTTAAAAAGAGGCATAAAGGAATGTCCTAACTTCCGTCTTTAAATGTTGTTTTATAGTTATTGATACTTGGAGCTACAGCAGCCACCTTGGGACCATGAGGGGTAAACCTAAGAAAATTGGCACCAAAAAATGAACAGAACCTGGATTTTTGATGACACTTTTCAAGTTTGGATACAGCCACCTCCAAGCTTTTGTTATGTGAGAAAACAATACTTAAGCCATTGGGATTGGGCCCTGGGTGTCTCAACATAACAGAATTTGATACCAGGATCAGGGCCTCACTGAGGAGGCCCCCAGTGACAGAATTGGGTCAAATCTCCACTTTTCCACTCCAGCAACTATGATCCTGCCTTCTTTACCTCCTATACTGAGGAAGTAGTTCGGGAAGGGACAGCTTCTTATTGAAATCTTCCAATTCTCCATAATCCTGGGGCTAAGGATTCTGAGACAGGGTTTGATTTAGTGCTCACAGGGATTGTTTGGGAACTGCAGAAAGGGAGAGGTCAAGGTCAAAGTCCTGAGGACTTCAGGGTTCCAAAATTTGGTGAGAGACCCATAATGCACCAGGAAGGAGCTCAGGCAGCTCAAACACCCAGCTGCATTCTCTCTGCTCACACTCACAGCTTTGAGGGATGGGCAGCGTCGCCTCATTGCACAGATGGGGTTTAGAAGGTGTTCTAACCGAAAGGCCCCTGGCCCTTGAGCTTCACCCCACTCCCAGCCATCTCTGGTTTCCCCTGCTGCCGGGGTGGGTATTATGCACGTGTGTGTCCACAGGAAGAAAGCCAAGCCATCCGTGTCCCTGCTTGGAGCTGGGGACTTGCTAGGTGGCCTCCCCTTTGCCCTCAGATAACCTCTCATTTCAGCTGATCTACCTTGGACCCGTGTTCCGAAGCCATGCCCACTTCCTAGGTGGCGTTGGATGATGGGATGGGACACTGTGGAGCTCTGGGCAGCGCCAACTCTGTCCAGAATGGCTCCCTGGGGCACTTACTGGTGCTGAACAGGGAGCCAGGGGTGGGGCGGAGAGCGGCCTAGAGGGCAGGTAGACAGGATTTGAGCCCTGGTTCCGTCACTTATCTACTCTGTGACCCAGGGTAAACCGTGTAAACTTCTCTGTGCCTCAGTTTCCTCTTTTGCAGAATGGGAATGATCATCGTCCCTACCTTGCAGGGCTGGTGGGGGGGGGCGGGGTAAATAAATCATCCACCCGCAAAGTGTCCCGAACTGCGCCTGCACGGTCAGTGCCACGTCCCTACCGTTCCTGGAGTCGCCACGGTCTCACCTCCGTGGCAGGCGTCCCCGAAGCTCGGACGCCGAGGGCGGACGCTCTCGCGGTTTTGCCGACTCATCCTGGCTCTGCAAGTCCGGCCGCCGCCCCCTCCCGCCCCAGCGGGCCTGAGTCACCCTCGCTGTGCGTCACACTCGCTCCTCCCGCCACGCGACCTGCAAACTCACCCTGAGTCAGCCCGCCCGGGCGCTTCCACTCCCCGGGCCGCGGCCAGCGCCGGCGGAGGGGCGCCCCCCAGTGGAGACCCGTGGTCGCGCGGGTCGCGGGCGCCGGGGGAGCGTGGCGTGTGCGGGTGGAGACCGCGGGGACCGGCCGGACCACTGCGGGCCCGGGGGGAGGCGCCTGCCTGCGGCCCCCACCGGCGGCGCTGAGTGGTACGGCCCGGCCGGAGGTGAGGCCCGGGAGGCGGCTGGGCTAGCGGCGACCACGCGATGGGGCTGCGCGCTGGCGGCAGGACCGGCGCCAGCCGCGGGGCGCCCGAGGGTCCCGGGTCGGGCGGCGGCGCTCAGGGCGGCAGCATCCACTCGGGCTGCATCGCTGCGGTGCACAACGTGCCGCTGAGCGTGCTCATCCGTCCACTGCCGTCGGTGCTGGACCCGGCCAAGGTGCAGAGCCTGGTGGACACGATCCGGGTGAGTCCCCGGGGAGGCCGTCCGCGGAGGGAGGGCTCGGGAGGAGGGAGGTCGCGCCGGACGCGAGGTGGGACTGGTTCCGGGCTCTCTCGGAGCCCAGCGTTGGCTGTGTGACCTTGAGCAAGTGGCCGGGCCTCTCTGGGCACTCTGTTTCCTCGTTTGAGCAAGAAGGGGATTGAAATAGATGATTAAAATAATGATTGCTAACTTATAAAGATAGCGCTTGCCGTGACGCAGGAGCTGTTTTAAGCCCTTAGCTTCTTGTGCCAACCCTGCGAGGCAGATGCTGTCCCTAAAAACGGAGGTACAGGCGGATTCCAGCAACTTGTTCAAGGTCAGGCACTTGGAAAGTGGCGCAATGGGAATTCACACCCAGGTCGCCTGGACCCAATACCCAGCTGAGTGGCCACAACCCTATCCAAAGATAAGCCATGACTTCCCTTCCACCTGTGACAGTGGCAATGGAACTGGGTGTGTCATGTCCGTGGGAGGGCCCTGTCTGGAAGAGAAATGGGAGAGGACAAGGGTCAGCTTCATCCCAGAGACACAGTGCTCAGGAATGCGGGAGTGGAGCCCTGGCTGGGCGACAGGTGGACTGGGCTCTGATTGGGAGGCGGAGGCCTCTGGGCAGTTTAGCAAGATCCTGGCTCAAAAAAAAAGTTAAAAGTCTGGGGGTGTAGTCCGGGGAACGCAGGCACCTAGCTTGTGCGAGGCCCTGGGCTCCATCCCTAGTCCTGCAAAAGGCAAAAGAAAGCTGGAGTGACCCTCCCTGGCAGGAAGGGGGACACTCAGGAATATACGTCACATTAGGCCCAGGTGGCTTCCTGTCCCCTTCTCCCAGACCCTTGGAAAGTGAGGGATGGAGGAGAGGAGGGGTGGGGACACTTCTAAACCCCACCAAACGCCTATACAGCCAGCCCCCAGGTCTCCAGTCCTAGAATGTGCACTCTGTCCCCACTGCCTAGAGCCACCGCTGCAGATAGCCACAGCACCTGCTCCGCCGCTTGCCATAGGTCTCTGTTCCCTTGACCACCTTGCAGATGGAGCCTTGGCCTCTTGCTCCCCCCTTATCCTGAGGTGTTCTGGATAGCACTCTAGTCTACCAGAAATTGTGTGTTGTATTGTTCTGTCTCCGTTGTGTGAACTCCACAGGAGCAGGGACTCTGTGGTCTTGGCTGTGGCCTCAGCCCTGCCTCAGGACCTGGCTCTCAGTGGAGGGGTCCAGCCCTGCACACCCTCGCCATTGCTGGGCCTCTGCGGGGCCTCTTTCCCTGCAGGAAACTCTTGTGCATAGCCTCTGACTCTCCCTCAGGCCTCCTACCTCAGGGCCAGCCTCTTTCCTGCCCTCCGTTGCTGGATTAGGGGTCCCCTGTGTCCTGGAAGCCTCCTGTGACCCCACCAGCATAGCTGTGGTCCCCCTGCATTGAGACGCCCATCTCTGGTGCTAAACCGTAGCCTGGGTGAGGCAAGGACGGGGCCTGCCTCCGCTAACTTTCCTACTGGACTCATTTTCTACGGCCGCGGTCGCCCGTTACCACAGAGTTCATGGCTTAAAGCAACGCTGAGGTCCTGTTTTACAGTTCTGTGGTTCACAAGTCCAGAGTGGGTTCCACTGGGCTGAAATAAGGTGTCAGTGGGGCTGTGTTCTAGAGGCTCTGGGAGAGTCCGTTTTCTTGCTTTGCCAACTGTGACACCTTGAGACTGTCGCGCTCCTTGGCTCATGGCCATTTTTGTTGTTTGTTTGTTTAGGGGTTGAGCCTGGAGGCGCTTTACCATTGAGCTACATCTTTGGCCTTTTGGATTTTTCATTCTGAGACAGAGTCTCACTGAGTCGCTTAGGGCCTTGCGTAATTGCTGAGGTTGGCCTGGAACTTGCGATCCTCCTGCCTCGGCCTCCCGGGCTGCGGGGCGTTACAGATGTGCCCCTGTGCCTGTGACTCACGGCCTCCCCACATTGCTTCACTCCAGCCTCCACTTGTGCCACCCTCCTCCACTCCCAAGGATCTTGGTGAGTCCCTTCAACCCATCTGGGTCATCCCACCATGACCTTCTGTCTTAAGATCCTGACCTTAAGTCCATCTGCAAAATCCTTTCTATCCTGTAAGGTGACATATTCACAGGCTTTAAGGATTAAGACTCAGACATCTGTAGGGATCCTTATTGTGCCCACCCACTATCCGCCTGCAGGGCGGTGTAGATGCTTCCACTAACATCTCTCAGGCACCCACTCACCACCTCCTTAGCAGCCACCCTGGTGGGTGCCTCAGTCCCACCTATGGGTGAGCAGCAGTGTTCAGAGTTGAGGCCAATGCACAGGATCCCCCAGCCGCTCAGAGCTGAGACCAAATTTGAGTTTTCCTGGTTCCGGAGCACTGGCTTGTGACCACGTGCCTCATGCTCACTGGGGCAACGTGGGGTCATGAACCATCAGCCAGCTCCAGAGGGGTCCTGTGGGTCAGTGGCAGAGGCCTTCCTTCTAGGCCAGTCCCACTTATTAGGGTCTCCCTACTGTGCTCACCCCGCTCCCTGCCCTGCCCCAGGCTCTCCCCACTTAGAGGACACCCACCTGATCTCAGACCCTACTGGGAAATCGCCTTCGACCCTCCTCTTTCTCTTGCCCTCCTAGCCCCCTCTCTGCCTGACGCCTCCAACCTGCTGTGCCCTCTCCCGGTTCCCCCCACACCAGCAGCCAGGGCAGCATCTTCTGCTGAACACCTCTGGAGGCCTCTCCTCTGTCCATCCGGCTAAGCCTGCTCTGGGCACATTTCTAGAATGGCATCCCATCAGGTTCAAAATGCTCCAGCCCTCCAGGTGCAGTGGGGCCTGCCTGTAATCCCAACCGCTCTGAAGGCTGAGACGGGAGGATCGCAAGTTCAAGGCCAGCCTCAGCAATTTAGTGAGGCCCTAAGCAACATAGGGAGACCCTGTCTCAAAATTAAAAATCAACAGAGCTGGGGATGTGGTTCCGTGGTTGAGCACCCCCTGGGTTCAATCCCTGGTACCAAAACAAACAAGAACCTCCTGACTGCACACCCTTCACTCTGCCTCATTTGGCTTCTGCTTGACCTCTCTGATCACTTTGCCTCCTTGATGCCTTGAGTCCACTCTGGTCACACTGGCCTCCTCACCGTGCTCTCCACCACCGTGGTCCCACCTCAGGGCTCTTGCGTTTGCTCTTCCCGCTGCCTGGAATGCCGTTCCTCAGGTAGGAACCAGCAGACATTATGGCCCGTGGAACCCCAGAGCTGCAGGAGGTGTGTCTGCGTCTCCATCCCCATTTGACAGAGAGGGCAACTGAGGCACCAGTGAACAGCCCGAGCAGCCGAGCTCTGATCCCAGGCAGTTCATCTAAACTGCTCCCACCGCTGGCTTCCCAGGTGCCTCTCTGCGTCACTGTCCCCTCTCAGAGCCCTTAAGGACCCCTTCCTTGTCTTGTCACCTGCGTTATTGTCTTCCTAGCCCTTACCACGCAGTGGTCCCTTCTTCGCTCCATCTGTCCCAGTAACCCACCGCCCCGTGTGCACAGGGACCGTGTCTGTCCTGGCTGTGCCTCGTCCCCAGGGTCTAGGACAGGGCCAGATGTGGAGTGTAGGTAAGCGACTCCCCGCCGGGTCTGCTGGCAGCTGCCCACTGCCCTGGTATGCACACTGTCCCGAGGCCGAGGCTCAAGCTGCCCTCGTGGCGCCTCCAGCCTGCACACCTGGCCTCGCCCGCCGGAGCGAGGAGCTCCCTGTTGGAGCGCCACTCTGGCCCGGGGCCGTGCTCACTGCCCTGTGCCCTTCTCCGCAGGAGGACCCGGACAGCGTGCCCCCCATCGACGTCCTCTGGATCAAAGGGGCCCAGGGGGGCAACTACTTCTACTCCTTCGGGGGCTGCCACCGCTACGCGGCCTACCAGCAGCTGCAGCGCGAGACCATCCCTGCCAAGCTGGTCCAGTCCACCCTCTCGGACCTGCGGGTCTACCTGGGGGCCTCCACTCCCGACCTGCAGTAGCAGCCTCCTCCCACCCCAGGAGCCCGGAATTCCACCTGGCCAGCAGGCGGGGCCACACAGAGGGCGCAGCAGGGATGTGTGCGGTTTCTTTGTGCCTTGGGGGACCGTCTGACTCTGGCTCTGCCTTTGCTAACGGCCAGGCCTTGGACTCAGGCAGAACAGGGTGGGAGCCCCAGTTGTCACCACTGAAAGTATGATCATGGCCTTATCCTCCAAGGACTGTTGAAGATGAGATGAGAAAAGAGATGGACTTGGAGAGCTGCAAGCTGCTGGCTCCAGAGTCCCAAGAACAAGGCCCTTCTTCACACTCTTCATGATACCTTGCTCTGTGATTACGTTCGGCTGCAAGTAAAAGAAAGCCTAGGTTCCGGTTAACAAGGAGAGGTTTATTTTTCCACACTGCATGAATTCTGGAGACAAATGGCCCAAATGGTGTCACTTCAACAGTGCAGTGAAGGCAGGGCTTATGTCTCTGTGATCCTTTTGCCCTGTCCTCCTTGTTTGCTACTTCATAGTCCCAAGATGGCTGCTGTGTCTCCAGGAATCGTGTCTGTCTTTAAGAGAGAGGTGCTGCTAAAGAGGAAGGGACAGGTCACCTGGGCTGTCAACTTCTACCAGAAAGAACCTCTTCCAGAGGCTTGGGTCCTGCCTGCCCTCTCCCCTGCATATATCTGCTTAGGTCTCCTGGGCCGGCCATACGTAACTGCAAAGAAAGGTAAGAACAGAACTGTCATGGTTGAGCACACCAGTCATGTCCCATCTTCTGAGACCGGCATGTTGCCTGCTGAAATAAAATTGGGATGCCAGGAGAGAGGAGGAGCAGGGTATTGGTGAGACTTCACTGTGACAGAAGCCTTCCGTCCTTAGCAGCCCCAAAGTTATTTCTTTACGTATAATTCTGTGGGTTGGCAACTTGGGCTGGGCAGCTCTGATGTCCTGCCTGGGGCTATCCTCAGCTGTCACCTAAGCCGGGGCTACTTGCTTGTCAGGCAGATGACTGGCTGTGGCCGGGGTGGCTTGATTCTCTTCCAACAGGCTAACTCAGGCTTGTTCACCAGATTTTGGCCTCAAGATTCCAAAAGAGTCAGAACTAGAACTTCTAGAACTCTAGGTTAGGGACTGTGACAGTGTCACTTCTAGGTTCTTTTGATCAGAGCAAATCGTAAGTCTTTGTCCAGAGTCAAAGGACAGAAACCACTACACCTCTCGATGAGGGGAACTGCAGAGAACTTGGGGCCATTGTTCATCTATCACAAATAGGTGTCAAATAACTCCTCCTTCTCCCTCTCCCTCTCCCTCCCCCCCCTCTCTCTCCACACACAGGGCCTCACTTTGGCCAGTCTTATGTCACTAAGACAATGTCCTGGCCCTCAAAGTCTAGGGGACAAGGTGATAAGGCAGAATCTGGGTCTCCAAGGGCCAGATCCACTCTAGTAGGGCATCTCATCAGCATGGGTGAGATGAGATTGGCAGGTGGAACATTCCAGAAGAATTCCAGAAGGTTGCAGAGTGAGGTGGGGCTTGTTCTGGCTGGCCTTAGGCAACTCAGCCACTTGGCAACTCCAAGCCTTAGTTTCCGCAGCTCGGTAGTGAGGACAACAGCTTTCCCCATCCATTGGGCGTCCTGGGGAATAGGATTGGAAAGGTATCGAATGCAGTGTGGCATCCTGGATTAGATCTTAGAACAACAACCACAACCAAAAACAAGACATTAGCAGAACAGCTGGGACTCTGATGATAAAGTCTGGATGTTAGTTAATACTATACCAATGTCGGCCTTGGTTTTGGCAAATGTACTGTGGTCATCTGTGAAGTCGATTTATTGTGAAGCTGTTGGGGCGGGCTGGGTGGAGAGGGTGGGATCTGTTTGCACTATCTCTGTACTTTTTCCATAAGTCTAAAGTCATTCCAAACTAAACATTTATTTAATAAAATTCGGGCTGCGTTTGCCTTAGTTGGTTCGGACGCTCAGGCTGGGTTGGTGGACTCCGCCCCGAGTTTCTGATCCAACAGGTCGGTTGACTCCGCTCAAGAATGTGCACAGCTAACAAATTCCTGGGTGATGCCAATCTGCTGTGTAGGGACCTCAGGCTGAGGACGGCTGATTCAGACTGCCTTGGCTATTTTCCAATACGGTGACACCCCACACACCAGCGCTCCCAGGGCAGAGGCAAGACCCTTGGGTGGGGCCCAGGAGATCTGGGTTCTGAACCAGCTGGTGGACCCACTCGATGGGTGACATTGGGCATGTCTTTGCCTTCCCTGGAGGATTTCCCCAAGCTGTCAAATAGACCGTCTGCCCCTAAGTGTGCAGGGAGGACGTGTCCCGTAAACTGCTGCTTTGAGGTGCCTTGCATGAATGAGCCCCTCAGGCCTCCAGGCTGAAGTAAGTGAGGCTGGCCTCTCCCTTCTGAAAGGACGTTTCCTTCTTGTAGAGAAGACCCAGCCAGGCAGGCTCTGAGTGGGTGGTGCAGAACAGGTCAGGTCACACTTTGGAGCAGCTGGGGTTTTAAGGGTGTGACCTGATGATGCTCTGGAGGCCGCCTGAGAGCTGCATTTCCCACTTGGACCAGCAGGTGGTGCTGCTTCCCAGCCCCACCGAGCAAGGCTGGGCCTCTGGCCCACAAAACAGCTGCTGGCTGGAAGGGCCTAGCCAGGGACAGGTGACTGGGGCTCAGAGAAGCTGGGGACCTCACTGGGAGTCTGGAGCTTCGGGTTCTGCTCATCCCTTCTGCACTTGCTCTGTGTCATGGACCCTTCCAAAAGGAGGCACTTCCTCCAAGAAGCTTCTAGACCCTTCCAAGCTGGGCTATGGTGCCTCTTTAGGGCTCCCATGATCGTGTGGGTCCCCTCCCAAACAAACCCCTGCCCCCAGGAACTTGGATGCAGTGAAGGCAGTGTGTGGGGAACCCCTGAGGCCCCTCCATGCTCTAGAACCCACAGATGGTCGATTTTAAATCAGTTTTAAAATTCATAGTTACGTGTAGTATATTTAGGTTAAGATAAAACAATAAGGTATTGAAATGTTAAATAAATAAAATTTAAAAAATTAAAATATCAAAGCCCACCATGAGTGCTGGTCCTGGTTTTCCCTGTGCCCTTTGGGGACATTTACGTTCAGGGATTAGGCTGTGCCCTTCCTGCCTTCCATCTGCCCTTGCAGTAGTGAACATGTGCGAGTTCCCTTGCAGATTGCCCCTGGCAGCGTGCCCTGGCCACCTGCCCCATTGGCACTGTGCTCTTCTCCCAGAGTTCCCGCATTCTGGTCTCTGCCCAAAGGTTACTTCTTCTGAGGGGCTTTTCCCCATCATTCTGTCCCTGTCCCAAGTTTTATTTTCTTCATAGCTTTTATCACTCTCTAAAATGATCCTCTGTGTCTGTTCCTATCTGCCTCACCCATAGTAGTACTAGTAGTAGTACCAGGGATTGAACCCAGGGATGCGTAACCCCTGAGTTACATCCCCAGCCCTTTTTATACATCATTTTGAGACAAGCACCCCTAAGTCGCTTAGGACCTCACTGAGTTTCTGAGGTTGGCCTTGAACTTGCGATCCTCCCGCCGAAGCCTCTTTGAACAGCTGGGATTACATATATGCGCTACCATGCCTGGATAAGGATTCTTGAGGCAATACTGGGCCTGTCTTGCTTACCACAGGGAGCCTGTGCTAAGAACAGCACCTGATACATAGTAAGTGTTCAATAAACAGCTGTGAAGTACATGAATTCCATGTCGGTGTAGCCCATGCTTTTTCATTACTGGGTGGGTGCGGCACGGTGTGGTATGACCATGTATTATTCTTCATCCTCCTGTAAATGGACATTTAGGAGTTTCCCAGTGTTCATTGCTGTGCCGGTTCTCCACCACCACTCTGCTCTCAATCATGCCTAGCGGTGGCAGAGTCGGGCTGGCACACAGGTTCATTTCCAACTTCTAAGAGTGGCAAGTTGCTCTCCAAAATAACAGTTCCCAGTGCTGCACCACCACCACCCCCACCACCACCACCACCACCCCCTCCCCGGATTTGGAAGCCAACCAGTGCTTCTAACCCTTTTTTTGCTGGTGGAGGGCAGGGATTCACGAATATAGCTGAACACCAGAGAAAGCCTTGAGCCCTTCCCCCAGGAAGACATACACATATTTCAGGCAATCTCTGGGGCTCCCTGTACCTGATAGCCTGCTCCCCCAGGGGATTCTGATTCCAAACCTAATTGTCTCATGGGGGTGGGGGCACACGCAGATGGGGTGTGTGAGTGGATTAATGAGCTCTACTTTCTTTCTCTCTTTTTTTCTTTTTATATCAGGGATTGAACCCAAGGGTACTTAACCACTGAGCAACAACTCTAGCCATTTTTATTTTAAATTTAGAGACAGGGTCTCACTAAGTTGCTAAGGCTGGCTTTGAACTTGCAGTCCTCCAGCCTTAGCCTCCCGACCAGCTGGAATTCATGCAACACGGTCCTGGCTGGGCTCTAGTTCTGTAGGGAGTAGAGGATAGAATTCAGAGTCTGACCTGCCTCCAGTCAGGAAAAAAAAAAAAAAAACCGCTCTCTGGGTGGTTTCTGCCCTTCCTTACCCTGTGTCAGTCAATACCAAGGATGGACTCCACCTGGTCCCTGGGCCCAGCCTGAGCAGTTCCACCTGCCAGTGCTGGAGGAGACAAGCCAAGCCTGGCATCCAGGATCAAATCAGGGAACCGAGGAGAGGTCCTGGCTGCCCTGGGTTGGAAAGGACCAAAGACATCATCCCTGCCTCTAAACTCTTACACTGTGTGTTACAAACCACACTCACTTCCAGTGTCCCTCCCAGCCCCTGGCCCCAGCCCTCCCACAGAGCAGGAAGTGAGGACCCACTCTTTATAAAAAGGATGTCTTGCGGGGCATGTTTGCGCACAGCTGTAATCCCAGCCTCGGGAGGCTGAGGCAGGAGGATCGCGAGTTCAAAGCCAGCCTCAGCAAAATCAAGGAGCTAAGCAACTCAGCGAGACCCTGTCTGTCTCTAAATAAAATACAAAATCGGGCTGGGGATGTGGCTCAGTGGTGGAGTGCCCCTGAGTTCAATCCTCAGTACCCCCTCCCCCGAAAAGGACCGTCTTCATCCCCCCATCCCCCCCAGCCGCACCACCCCCAGCCGCACCACCCCCAGGCTGCCCCCTCCGTCACCTGCACCTGCACCAGCAGCAGGACCTCCCTGACTGCCCTAGTGGAGCCTCAGAGCAGACCCGAGAGGTGACCGGGTACCAGCAATGACCTTCCCGTTGGACAGACGGGTAAACGGAGGCCCAGGCGACCTGCTGCGGGCCCAGCTGGCCTGCGGGGTCCCGGCCCCCACCCGGGCCCCGCGGCCCCGGCGCCCGCCCCGCCCCTCGCGGCTGCCCGCGCTGCCTGGCCCCTGACCTCCGCGGCCGCCAATCCATTGGTTCCAGCTCCGGGGGGAGCGCAGAACAAAGCGCGCTTTGTGGCGGGCCGTCCCCTGGCCCCGCGCGTCCGCCGCCGGGAGCCTCCGGAACTGGGAGCGACGCCCGCGGCCGACAGCCGTGTAATGTCTTCCAGGCCGCCCGCCACCAGCCGGCCCGGCGGTCGGGCGCCCCCGCGGGAGGCTCTGCGGGCGCCGCGAACCTGCCCCGCGGGCGGCGGGAGGCGGCCACCTGGTAACCTGTCCCCGACCCTAGGCGCCACTTGCGGGGGGGGGGGGGGGCGGGAAGCACCGATCGCAGGCGGCGCTGCTGCTGCTGCTGCCCTGAGGACTGCTCCGTGGTGGAGACAGACTTTGGTTTGGTCCTAGTGCTGGGGACTGGACCCAGGGCCACCGACCACTGAGCCGCATCCCAGCTCTAAAGTTCTTATTTTGAGACAGGGAATCACTAAGTTGCTTAGGACCTCGCCTGGTTGCTGGAGCTGGCTCTGAACTCGCCATCCTCCTGCCTCAGCCTCCTGTGCCCGAGGTTACAGGCTGCGTCACCGCAGGGCGAGTCAGTCACTTTAGATGGATTGACCGAGGTTTCAGTTGTTGATGCCACCTACGAGCTGTGAGATCCTGGTAAGTTCACCACTAAGAACAACAATACTAACAGCCAACATTTATGGTGCACCTACTGGGTGCCTCTGGTGGTCTCCCTGGTCCTCTCACCCAGTTTGGAAGGGAGGAATTTTAGATGTTCATTTTTACAGGGCAGGGAATGGACTCTCCAAATACTCTGGAGCCAAAGTCACCTCTCCCAGCCTCAGTTTCCTTATCTGCAAAATAAGGACAAACATAGGAAGTCCCCATGGGCTGTCTTACCTGTTTCCAGATGAAGACAGGTGCCCTCAGGCTTATGGGGGAGGGAGGCTCTACCCAGCTGCCAGAAACCTTTCCCCCAAGGACAAGGGACAAGTCACAGCCCTGACCTGCCCTGGAGACTGGGGGTGTGGGAGAGAGAGAGGAAAGCCACTGCCAGAGACGAAACTGAGGGACCCCAGAGAGGGCAGGACAGGGCTGTCCGGGAGTGACTGTTCCCACCTTCACACACCTCCCTGACATTCCTGCTACAAATGGTCACAGAATACACTGCCCCAGGCACCAGGCCATCAGAGCCTAAGCAGATGAAACCCCTGTCCTCTTGAAGTCCCCCCGGGGGACATGGGCAGTAAGAGGTGCCCAAACTGGGTATAGCTTTTTCAAATCTAAATTTGATTTTGTTTGACTTAATTTTTTTTTTAATTTTTAAGAAACTTGAGATAGCTGGGGGTGGGGGGGGAGTGCATACCTGTAATCCCAGTGACTGGAGGCTGAGACAGGAGGATCAGAAGTTTAAGGCCAGCCTTGGCAACTTAGGAAGGCCCTCAGCAGTTTCCCTGTCCCAATTAAGAGAGAGAGAGAAGGAAAAAGTCTGCGGATGTAGTTCAGTGGTAAAGTGTCCCTGGGTTCAGTCCCCAGTACCAAAAATAAAAATAAACTTGAGATAGCCAAGGAAAATTGGTATCAATGACATAAATAAAGGTAGCCACAAATGCAAACGATGTCAACCCAGCCCCGTTATTAACTCCCTCTGAACCCAGCACAGGTCACACTGCTGACTCTCAGTTAGCAAGTGTCAGGGAGCCCCACCCTACAAAATGGGACTCTTCCTGCAGGAATCAGGAGGGGAAGCCATTGAAAAGGGATCTGTCACCTAACTCTTGGTCCTTGTCCTTCCTCATCATATGTAACAATCAGAAAGCACTTAGGATGTCCTGAGCCACCGTAGAGATGAGAAAACAGGCTCAGGGAGGTGGGGCCTCTCAGGCCATCACAGTAGGGACAAGGCAGAGCCAGGGTTTGTCCTGGGCAGGCGCTCTCTGGAGGCCACTCATCTGGGCACCATACGACCCTGTCTGTTGAGGGCAGATCAGTCCCACTTCAGGCAGGCTGAACTATTGGAACTAGAAGGTCTTCAATTCTAATTTAGTAAATGTGTATTGAGCATCTACTAAAATTTATGTCACATCATATCGTATGAAAGTGTTTGAGGGTCAGATTTAGAAAACAACCAGGGGGTGCTGGGGATGTGGCTCAAGCGGTAGCGCGCTCGCCTGCCATGCGCGCGGCCCGGGTTCGATCCTCAGCACCACATACAAACAAAGATGTTGTGTCCGCCGAAAACTAAAAAATAAATTTAAAAAATTCTCTCTCTCTCTTCTCTCTCTCTCTTAAAAAAAAAGAAAAGAAAGAAAGAAAAAAAGAAAACAACCAGGGGCTCTTCACCATGAACGTCCTAAATGACTGTCCTTCCCCAGCCCAGTGCCCTCCAGCCCACCCGGCTGCCTCATAGTTCCCACTGGCTTTCTGACCCCAGGGCCTTTGCGCTTGCTCTTCCTTTGGGCTCTTGCTTTGAATGCCCTTTCTCCGGTTCTTCTGGTGACTTTATGCATCCTTAAGGTCTCAGTTCACATGTCACCTCCTTCGAGAGGCTTCCCTCGCCTCTCTGCCTCTGGTGGTCTCCCTGGCCCTCTCACTCTGTGTGCCTTCATATTAGCTTGTAGTCATTCTATTTGTTTGTCCGTCCACTTGTCTTCTGTCTTGCTGCCTCACCAGGTTGTAGGCTCCAGGCGAGCAGGACCTGGTGTGCATTATGGCTAAGCCTTTGGGGTGAAGGACTCGGAGAAGAGCAGACTAGAAAGGGAGGGCATTTGGGCTGCCCCAGATAGAGGAGCAGATGAGTCTGTGGGTGGGGTCTCCAGGATGATCACCTTAGCTCTGGGCAGGACCACCCAGTGTGCTGGGGCTGGGCAGAGCAGATCACCTCCATAGGGGGGAGAGCCTGGGTCCCCTGCCCCCCCTCACTCCCTGGCTCAGTCATTCCTTCACCCACTGTGTCCTCTCTTTCCCTTGTTCACTGACTCCAGACTTTTCTGTAGCGGACAAGCTTCCTGGCTTGGCCACACCCTCATGGCATCTGTACTACTATTTCCTCAATATCTTGAACTGGAGTTCTTTTTAAATTTAAACACATGCACATTAAAATCAACTTGGAGGTTTACATGCAATTAAAATGCACCCATTTCCTGTAATTCCAGCGATTCTGGAGGCTGAGGCAGGAGGATCGTGAGCTCAAAGCCAGCCTCAGCAACTCAGCGAGACCCTAAGCAATCAGCAAGACCCTGACTCTAAATAAAATGCAAAAGAAGGGCTGGGGATGTGGCCCAGTAGTTAAGCACCCCTGGCTTCAATCCCTGGTACCAAAAAAAAAAAAGCCACCAATTTT